TTATTTTACTAATGAGGGAACTGCAGCTCAGATGGGTTATGTGGTTTGCCAGAAACATGGCTAATGAGGTATACAATCCAAAACTTACTGGTCTTTCCATGTTCATGCTACAATTTTCATTTTCAACACCTGGTACAAATATGAACTTAAAAGGCATATTAAGTTTCAAGATACAGAAGTGACAACAATGATAGGAAAGGCAATACCAAATATGGGTGAAGTCAGCATAACTTGACCAAGGTAAATAAAGACACTAAGAAGTATGCAAGAAAAAGGGACAATTTCATTAAATACTATAACATATACAATTTTGCAACAACAGTAACAACAACCAAAAAATATGTGTGGTTATGTAGGTGGATATGAATCCCTATATGTGTACAGGAGGGCATATGCAAGTAAATGCACGTGCGTGTACTGGTGTACCTGTAGGCATATGTATATACACATTTGTGTGTGCTACATATTATGTATAACAAAGCACATCCAAACCCACTGCCGTCGAGTCAATTTCAATTCACAGCAACGACTCATAGCAACCATACAGGACAAAGTAGAACTGCCCCATAAGGTTTCCAAGGCTATAAATCTTTACAGAAGCAGACTGCCACATCTTTCTCCCGCAGAATGGCTGGTGGGTTCAAAGCACTGACCTTTCAGTTAGCAGCCAAGCTCTTTAACCACTGAGCCACCAGGGCTCCTTACAAAGCACATACAGGGCACAATTACGGAGGCTTCCTAGATATATCCCAACAACTCACGGGACTGGTTTACTGGGTTAAAAGGTTTAGGACCATAGTCTCGGGGGACAACTTAGTCAAATGGCATAACATAGCTCATGAAGATAATGTTCGACACCCTAGTTTGGTAAGTAGTGTCTGGGGTCTTAAAAGCTTGCATGGCCATCTAAGATACAACTATAGGTCTCTCTCTACCCATATGGAGCAACAGAGAATAAAGGAAATCAAAGGCTCAAAGAAGAAACTAGTCCACAGGACTAACAGCCCACACAAACCACAACCTCTTCAAACCAGAGACTAGAAGAACTAGATGGTGCCCGGCTACCTCTACCAACTGTTCTAACCAGGGACACAATAGAAGGTCCTCGATGGGAAGAAAAATGAACAAAAGTCAAATTCCTACAAAAAAAGGGCCAGACCTATTGGCCCGATAGAGACTAGAGGAACCCCCACAACTACCACCCTAAGACACCCTTTGACCTTGGAACTGAAGCTATTTCTGGAGGTCACCTTTCAGTCAAATAATAGATTGGCTTATAAAATAAACAATATCACCTGTGAGTAATGTGCTCCCTTAAACAATCAACTATATGAGACCAAATGGCCAACATTTGCCCAAAAGCAAAGATGAGAAGACCAGAAGGGGGAGGGAAGCTAGATCGATGGAAACAGAACAAACAGAATGGAAATAATGAGAATGCCGACACATTGTGAAAATTATAACCGATGGTACTAAATAATTTGTATTAAAAATGTTAAATGGGAACCTAATCTGCTGTGTAAACTTTCACCTAAAACACAACAAAATATTATTTAATAAAAAAGAAATGATGAAAGCATACCAGTACTGATATCATAAAATTAGTATTAAAGTGATACTTGTGAAGAGTGTGCTTCTTAGCTCAAGTAGATACATGAGACTAAATGGGCAGCTCCTGTCCAGAGGCGAGATAAGAAGGCAGAGAGGGTCAGGAGCAGGTTGAATGGACAAAGGAAATCCAGAGTGGAAAGGAGGAATGTGCTATCACAGTACAGGAGAGCAACTAGGGTCACATAACAATGTGTATATTAATTTTTGTATGAGAAACTAACTTGAATTGTAAACTTTCACTTAAAGCACAATTAAAAAAAAATTAGGATTAAAATTAGCAACGAATGTTATCAATTTTGGTAGCCTCTAAAAATTACTGGGAATCCTATTCAATCCAAGATGGATTTGATCTCATAATTTGTCTTAAATCAAAGTTTCACGGATTATAAAATTACATATAAATTCACCATATAAAATTACAGAATTGGATAGTCTGTAAGAAACAACTAGCCACATCCATTGCACAAACTTCCCCCAACCCATTCTTAGTCTTGTGGCTTCACACCAAATTACGAAGTTCCCCATGTGAAATCCGATTTGATTTCAACACTAAGTGAATTACAACAGCAGAAGCATGTTGTTTCCGCATAGTACTTGCAACATGCACTTAATTTCCAGAGCGCTTTTGGACAATATTTAAAATTCATAAGCTAAAAGCAGAACTCAAGACAAAATGTGTGTTTTTTTTTTTAATGAAAAAGGTCTGTCTACCTATGAGATGAGTACCAAATAACTTTATTACAGATTATTAAAGATTTGCAGAATCAAACTGGAGAAACTACTTGACGTCAAAGAGCATAGCCCCTTAATTGAATAGATGAGGAAATGGAAGCCCAGAGAACTTACCTGACATTCCCAACAGCAGTCACATAGTTAACGACACAGATGGAATCAGAATCTAAGTCTACCTGCCAGTACAGAGCTTCTCATTATTCTACACTGCTTCTTCATTTAATAAAATGTTATCTTAAAAAAAAATCACTAGCATCTATAAAATTAAGACAAATTTAACACAAAAAAAAAACTATAGGAGAGGATAGTGTGCAATAACAGACTTTAGAAAACAGAATCTCTTGAAAGAATCTCAAAAGTTCTAAATCAAAAAAAAAAAGTTCTAAATCACAGGTATTGAAAACTGGCTCTTTTATCCAATGCCAGACATAAAGCAGCTTTTAATAACAAACGCTACTATCGACCACCATAACTGCTCTTTTCCCCATCTCAATCTGTTCATTTGCTCACCAAATACCTGAGGCCTAGCATATGCTGGGAATTTTGGTAGGTACTGGGGACGCCTGGGAACAAAACAGACATGGCCTCTGTCTCTTGTACTGGATAGCTAGGTGCAGTTCTCTAAAAAGACTACTCCATGATTTGACAGGATATTTACCAAACTCCTTCACTACACTATACAACTATAACAACACTTTCTTCCACCTCTTCCGAACTTATAACAACCCTCACCACACCCCTCTGAAACATGAATATTCCCTTGGTAACTCAGCATTCCATTTTACCACAAAAGGTGTTAACCAGGACTATAGAAGATTTAAAAACTGACTCTACCACTCCTCAAGACCTGGGGCAAATTTCAAGAACTTTTCACAATCCACAGTAAACCTTCCTGGTTCATAACCCTGCTAACTCACCATCCTATCTTCCACTCTACTAGAAACCTAAGTCAGATGGTTAGAGAATAACACAGATGTTGGGATTTTGGGAAGCACCTCTGATAGAACCCTTTGTGAACCAGGGGCAGACTTACTGTCTTTCCCTCTCTGTTACTTTCCTGTGGATTCTGTGGTATGTCTCTGAATATACTGCCTCCAAGTCAAGCAGCATCTAATTTTATCAAGCGTGTTCCTAAAGACTTTTGCACAAATAACTTTTAGCAACAAACCTGTTCCCCTACTTACATCCATTATAGTTTAAGAGACGGTCAATTTTCATTTTTTAGTTTCTCATGCTTCCCCTTCTTTCCTATTTCTCAAATTCTTAAGGATCTATAAACAATTAAAAGCACTCTCAAATGCAATTAATGGGAAACTTTTGGAATACCAAAGGTGACCTAAGCAGTTCACAAACCTGGCTGACCAGAATCATTCAGGGAGCTTTGTTACGATGGATTCCCAGGCCCCACCCTGAGATCTGAATTCACTAGGTTCTGCATGGAGCCCTGGTGGCACAGTGGTTAAGAGCTTGGCTGCTAAACCAAAAGGTCAGTGGTTCGAATCCACCAGCAGTACCTTGGAAATCCTATGGGGGCAGTTCCACCCTGTCCTAACAGGGTCGCTACAAGTCGGAATTGACTCGACAGCAACGGGTTTGGTTAGATCCTGCATGGGCCCAGAAATCAGCATTTTAGATATTCATAATATTTCTGATGACTGGCGTTTAGCTGGCAATCACTGACCTAAAGAACCTATGAGCTGGGAAACTTGGGTTCTCCTATGGGTTGTCATTAACTACCTACAAGTAGGGCTGCACCACTATGCTGGTCATCTGAACTGCTCCAGGTCATTTGAAAATGAGGGAGGTAACTAGAGCTGAAACAGGCCTTCGAAGGCAGCCAATCTAAAACTCTAGCAAATATAGTCAGGAGCCCTAGAAGGAAAAACTTTCTGCATGCCTCCAGCACAGCTTACTTGGTCTCGGTGCAAAAACAACACAGATCATGTGTCTTCCCCTACTGAAACAGCCTTGAATCTGAAAGGGGAAGGTCCCCATCACCACCCCATGGATAAATCACAAATATTTTACATTAAAAAAAAAAATCACCTCGTGTCACTTAACCCAGGCCTCGGAGGGCATCACCATTCACATTAAGAGAAACTAAGTTAAACCTCATCTATAAGAGTGTGGGCACTTTTTTGTTTTGGCTGTGAAAAAAGCAGATACTGTCAGGTAACAGAGTGTATATCAAGACACTAGAACAGTAACAAGCTTGGACTCAGTCTGGAAAAGACACCTGAACATCAATACCTAACAGTGGCTACTATGCAGAATTGACAAGTGAGATTATGAGACCCCAGAACAATTGATAAAAGTGGCTATGTATTTACCCCATAATTCTGAGGTAAATTCTCCAGCCTAAAGTACACCCAACAATACAGGAGATGCAATACATCAAGAAGCACAGTTTCTGCCTGAGAAATAACACTGTAACCTTCTGCGGAACTGTTTGCCCAGTGTTCCCTCAATTACCCCAACCATCCTTCCCACCCAAGTACTATCAGGCCAGGAAGAGGTCCTACTGCATAGTCAGTGAGCCACTCCTCCTTCCCACAAGGCCTGGGCCCGCACCGCTCGTTCAGGGGCCCCGCTGGCCCCCGACCCCTCGCCACAGTGAACCCTCGCGACCCGGCCGGGGGAGAGGAGTGCACACCCACCTTCCGAAGGTCCTCTGGCATTTGCCAGGCGGTCAGAGAGAAGCGTCCCACACCCTTGGCCCCACCGGCCGGTCCCCGCCAGGTCCGGGAAGGCCTCCCGAGCCCGGGACCCCGCCTCCCCCGCGCCGAGGGTCCAACCGAGCCCAGCCGCTGCGCTCCCACTCCCCGCACCTCCCTCTGGCGGCAGCGGCGGCCGCCCGGGACGCCCCTCTCTGGGCACCGCACCCGCCCCCAAGCCCCCGCGGGCCGCCGCCTCCTCAGAGGGTGACAGCCGCCGGGCCGAGACCCGCCCCTCCTCCAGCTCCTCCTCACTGCCTGAGAAGACGGGGGTGCGCGTCTTACCAGGAGGCAGGACATGGCGAGGCGAGCCACTGCACGGCGTCCTCCGCCACCCCACGAGGCTCCCCGCCAGGGCCAGCGGGGGGCAGCGCCTGGACCGCTAGAGCGTCTAGTCCGGCTGCTCCTCCACTGCCGCCGCCTTCTCACAACCACAACAACATGGCGGCAGCAGCCACACAGAGCGCGCTCCCGAGGCCGAGCCGGGCTGCGAGCGGGGAGGCGCGCGCGCACGCTCAGGCTCGCAGCCGGCCGCCGAGAAAAAGGGGGCGGGCCGCCAAGGGCGGGGGCGGGGCGGGGCTCGGTCCCGCGGGCCACGCCCCAGGCTGGGGCGGGGCTACGGACCCGCCGAATTCCCGGGGCGACGGAGGGACTGGTAGAGAAGTACCGCCCGGGAAGGAGGGCTGGACTGAAGGGAAACGAGCCGAGGAGAAGCGACAAATCAAAAATAAAAAGAAAATCAAAGTTGTTCCTACGTAATTTTAGGGTTCATCTTTTCTTGGCTCTATAGCCTGGGCAAGACAACGCCTCACTCTGCCTACCAGTAAAATAGAACAATAGTAGTTATCTTTCACCGGCAGTTGTGATGCGGATAAAACTAATTTCATATAATGCACGTAAAGTCGCTCAAGGTTCTACTCAGAATACAATTTCAAACTGCCTCAACCTCAGCTCTTAATCAAAAGCTCAGCAGAAAGACCAAAAATAAAAAACCAAACCCACTGCCGTCGAGTCGATTGCGACTCATAGCGACCCTGTAGGACAGAGTAGAACTGCCCCATAGGATTTCCAAGGAGCGCCTGGTGGATTCAAACTGCCAACCTTCAGGTTAGTAGCCGTAGCTCTTAACCCCTACACCACCACTGAGCCTTAAAACATGAAAAAAAAGTTGCAATCCATCCATGCTAGCCTGCGGAAGTCTGCATACCAGGACTGTATTACCTTAATCCCCAGCAGATTCACCTCCTCTGAGATGCATTTTAACATCATGCGCTTGACTTTTCTGGAAAATGGCTGAGACTCAGTCAGATGAAATCTATCCCTGCATTTGTTGTATTGTTTTTTCCACAGCAGCCTTTGAAATTATTTGTTTTCATGTTTATTGTCTATTACACTCAAGTGTAAAAACTACTTGAAGGATCTTGTTTGTCTTGTTCGTCACTATAGCCCCAGTGCCTAGATCTGTGAATCACGTATAGTATGAAGTGAAATTTTTTGATTAACTGACTAATAGCTAGTATTTATTTAGGGCTTATGGTGTGCAAGGAATATGATAAGCACTTTACACACCTCACCTAATTGAATTTTCACAACTTTAATAGGTAGATACTGTTATTATCCCCACTTTACAGTTGAAGAAATGAAAGTTCGGAATAAGCTGCACTAAAACAAAATTTAAACCCAAGTCCAACTGACAACAAAAACTGAGCTCTCACACAGTAGGGTATACTGCCCACTGCATGGCACAGTCGCTAAAATAAAATCCCAAGTAAGAACTTCATTTAGAGCTCAAAGTTACAGAAGGCTTTGTTTTACTCCCAGAGAAACTGGAAGCTTCCTCCTTTCTGACAACTAGTGCTATGCAACTGATGGTGTCTCTCTTTTCATCTTGGCTTCCAGAAAGCCCAGGGCAAAATTTGAAGCTCAACTGGTGCCTCTTCTTGGCCCCAAAGGTTCCCATATTTATGGTGGTTTTCCTGCCTCAACTTTCTACCTTTATTTATATTTTCAGTCCTGATTTCCTCTTCCTGTTACATGATTATAAAACCTTTATAGAATGGGAGATGTAATAGTAAGTACATAGAATAATCACTTAAAAAATAGGTTTTTCCCCATCTGTTTTCCTATTGTGTGATAAACTAAGGTTCCCCTCAGCCACAGCCCCCCTCTGTGTGGAAATTGCCCTCCCTAGCCTTTCCTTCCGGAGCCTGGTGACACAGTGGTTAAGAACTATGGCTGCTAACCAAAAGGCCGGCAGTTTGAATCCACCAGCCGTTCCCGGGAAACCCTGTGGGGCGGTTTTACTCTGTCCTATAGGGTCACTATAAGTAGAAATTGACTCCAAGGCAATGGGTTTTGTTTTTGGTTTGGTAGCCCTTCCTTCTACATCTCAACATAAAGAAAGCAAAAATCCTCACAACTGGACCAGTAAGCAAAGTCATGATAAACAGAGAAAAGATTGACGTTGTCAAGGATTTCATTTTCCTTGAATCCACAATCAGCACCCATGGAAGCAGCAGTCAAGAAAGCAAACAATGTATTGCATTGGGCAAATATGCTGCAAAAGATCTCTTTAAAGTGTTAACAAAGACGTCACTTTCAGGACTAAGGTGTGCTTGACACAGCCATGGTATTTTCAATCGCCTCATATGCATGCGAAAGCCAGACAATGCATATGGAAGACCAAAGAAGAACTGATGCCTTTGAATTACGGTGTTGATGAAGAATATTGTATATACCATGGACTGCCAGAAGAATGAACAAATATGTCTTGGAAGAAGTACAGCCAGAATGCTCCTTAGAGCGGGTCTGGCAAGACTTCATCTCACTTGCTTTGGACGTGTTATCAGGCAGGTCCACTCCTGGGAGAAGGATATCATGCGGTAAAGTAGAGGGTCAGCAAAGAAGAGGAAGCACTTCAGTGAGATGGATTGACACACTGTTGGCTGCAACAATGGGCTCAAACATAGCAATGATTGTGAGGATGGCGCAGGACCGGACACTGTTTCGTTTTGTTGTACATGAGGTCAGTATGAGAACCAACTCCACTGGCACCTAACAACAATAAAGTCCTTCCTCTAAGGAAAGGCTGAAAGCTGGGATCTCACAAGTAGGTGTCTGCTGATTGGACCGAAACTAGCACCTGACTCCAGGACAGCCCATTCATAGGCTGGCTAGCTCCCAATGAGATGGCCTGGGACAAAGAGTTCAGCTAATGAGCAGTGGTCATCCGCTCAGCCAATACTACGACTCCCTGGGGTTCACATCTGTGGTAGCATTTCACTTTAACCTCTTTTTAGACAGAATATTACAGTTTTTGCCTTTTAATCTGGACTTTATTGTTGTTATTAATTGCCATTGAGTTGATTCTGACAAAAGGCAACCCCACGTGAGTAGAACTGCTCCATACGGTTTTTGAGGCTGTGACCTTTTAGAAGATCACCAGGTCTGTCTTCTGAGGCACCTTTGGGTGGGTTCAAACTACCAAACTTTTAAGTTAGTAGTCAAGTGCATAACTATTTGCACCACCCAGGGGCTCCTTTTTAACTTGGTCTAAGAAAACTTAAACTGAGTCCTCAACCAGTATTTTGGACGTGGGAGAAATTTTTCTGTGCCCATGAAATCACATTATTTGTACCTCCTCATTCTCGTAAGAGCAAACGTGGATTGAACTTTACAGGGCAGTATGTAAGTGCTTCGCTTGAATATCCAGTATAATCCTTACAACAACCCTGTGAGCAGGTATTGTTACTCTTCCTCCATTTTACACATGCAGAGGTATAAAGGTCAGGATTTGAACCCAGACAATTTGATTCTGAAAGCATCCTTGTAAAACTCATACTAAACCTCATCCTCATCATTGCTCAACTACTTACCTTTAAGGCAGACTTTAGTAAATTATCTTTAAATAAGATAGAGACAACTGCGGCATGGCCTTGAAAACTCACTTCTAGGAGAAGGGCCTAAGAAGACACAATGGAAAGAAAGCTGGCCTAGAATCCAAAGACTTAAATTTGGGTCTTGGTGCCTCCACATGCTTATTCTCTTCACTGTGCCTTAGTTTCCTCATCTGCCCTGTGGAGTCAGCAGTCAGTGTCCTGCTTACCTCACACACATGTGAATATTCTTTGAGGGAATGGGTTTGAAAACATTTTGTCCTCCATGAAAAACCAAACCAATGGATTGGATCATTTGGTCCACGTGGGCTTTGGCTGAAGACAAAGCCCAAAACTTTGTGCAGTGAGTCAAGGACAGAGTGAGGAAACCAATACAGGCTCAGTGAAGGCTTCTTCCCACCGTCCTCAGGACCTGACAAGTCGGACATGGCATTTCTCATGTGAGGGGCCCCCTTTACCCACCTGACCTTCCTCCTCCACTCTCTTTTAGCCTCTGCACCACCTGCTATCTTCAAAACCAAAAATGTTCTTTCAGCTGCTCAGGGACTCTTTGAAGTAGCCTGAGACAGATGGAAATACCAACTGATGGTGGAATGAAGGCTTCCTGAGATCACACAGGGCCCCTGGAAGGCAGGAGTCCCTCAGCCCCAAAATATGCTGCCTTCCCAACACTAGGATCTGCTGCTTAATGATAAAAGTCACTTTCTCTTGGTGAGTGACGTCCGGGGTCTTAAAAGCTTGCAAGCAGCCATCTAAGATGCATCAATTGGTCCCAACCACCTAGAGTAAAGGAGAATGAAGAACACCAAAGACACAAGGAAAGTAGTAGCCCAAGAGACAGAAAGGGCCACATAAACCAGAGACTTCATCAGCCTGAGACCAGAGGAACTAGAGGATGCCCAGCTACCACCAATGACCACCCTGACAGGGAACACAACAGAGAGTCCCTGATGGACCAGCAGAAAGATGGGGGTGCAGAACTCAAATTCTAGTAAGCATACCAGACTTAACGGTCTGACTGAGACTGGAGGTACCCCGGGAAGCATGGCCCCTGGATTCTCTATCAGCCCAGAACTAAAACGATTTCCGAGGCCAACTCTTCAGACAGGGATTGGACTGGAATGTGGGACATAAAGTGATACTCGTGAGAAGTGTGCCTGTTAGCTCAAGTAGATACAAGAGACCAAAGGGGCAGCTTCTGTCTAGAGGTGAGATGGGAAAGCAGAGAGGGTTAGGAGCTGGTTGATTAGACATGGGGAATCAGGGACGGAAAGGAGGAGTGTGCTGTCGCAGAATGGGGTGAGCAATTAGGGTCACATAACAATGTATGAATAAAATTTTGTATGGGAGACTAACTT